GTTTCACTCATCCCCTTCAAATCATTGTGGTCTCTGTTTCAGATTGCCTCCAATGCCTGTGTTAAAATTCAAGGCATCCATAAGGCACATATCCTCCTGACCTAGTGCTGTAGTTATGATGATGCATAAAATAAATCATTGCAATTACTGAGGCAGTCTCAAGCACTTAGTAACTCAGGCAATTGCTTCTTGAAACATGACTGAACTGAAGAAAGGATCATTAGTTATTTCCCTGGAGTACTTGGATATTATAACCCTCTCCACAGGGTTCTATTAAGGAGTTAAGGCCTGGCCATTTGTTCACACATCTCATTTTGTCTTTCTGTTACTCAAATGCTCTGTGACATCTGGTGAATTCCAGAGTGTCTCTCTTCTTCACCCATGGCATCTCCTTACCTGTCAAAGTTCAGGTCAAATAGCAAGTGGCCAACCATGTGGAAAGGAAGAGCCCAGCAATGACAAAGTAAACAGGTTTAAGAAGTCATTTCTGGAAGGACTTACGAGATAGGGTGAATTTATGAGACGCATGACATAAAAATAGTTTCCTGAGTAAGGAGAAAGAAGTTGGTTAGATGAGATCTCGAAGTTATACATGAAAAACAGTACAAACCTGCAGAAAGCTATATAAATCATTTAAAGCCATGAAGGTCAGGAAGGAATTAAAGCTGGAAACGGGGGAAGGGAGGCCAGGATCAGAGATATGGGAGAGTTTCCATATATCTTGGGTGGCATAATAGGTGTTGGCAGTGTCTAGATAGTCTGTACTATGCAATCTGAAAGTAATGGGATGTGATGAGAGGAAGAGAATGGGATCAGAAGATATGTGTCAGTGGACAGTTGTATCCCCCAGTGGAGCCTTTGTTGGCTGAAGAAACCCCTGGGCATACAAGGGTGTATCAGAAGCTGTCAAGTGGCATCACAGTGTGGCTCTCACTCTCTCTAGGTAACACCAGGTTGCTCAAGAGGTCAAGAAGGAGGAGATACTTTGAAGGAGGAAAAAGGGAGCGACCCAAGGGAGATTTTTGGGGAACCTGGTGTCGGTGCTGCTCCTCATGGTGAATTAAAGGGATAGGGAATGAGCCTTATGTGGGCATGATAGTGGGCTGAAGAAGAGCTAGAAAAGGGTAGCAGGGAAGTACAGTAAAAGCCCAATGACTGATGGATGGGCTGAGACTTTATGGATGGGACTGGCAGTAGAGCAATATGGTTTGAGGGGGTTGTTCTGGAGAGAGCTGTCCTCTCTCCTGGGGAGGAAGAGAGGCCCTCTCAGGGAGAGGTGGTGTGTTAGATGATAGTATCAGAGCCCAGCAAGACATGCAGCAGCCTGGTTCAGGGTTGATTCAAGGGTAGATCAGATGTCCTTGTTTTGGAGGCAGCAACATCCCTCAGAAGGGAGGGGCAGATGGCTGGAGGCAGTAACAGCTCCCACGGCCCCAGCAAGATGTGCTGCTGCATGTTTGGCAGCCTTCATGCTGTCAGGAAGGCTTTTTTTCCTAGTGCTGTTGTGAATGATCTTCTGATGCAAGGGTACAAAGTGAGTTTGAGAGGCACACTGTCATTTGCAAGGTTTCATGGTATTGATTGAGGCAAATCCTAGCAAAACATTCAACATTTGATCTTTTTTTTTCTCAATATTTCTTCCTATTCTAATGGTTAGATCTGGTTAAATCTCCCTGAGCAAAAATAACATTTTGGATTACTTCCATTAACTTTTTTGCAGAAGAGACAGTGAAATCTGGACTATGCCACACTTCTGCGCATGTTCCTCCCCAAAGGAACTGTTCCTTGTGGAGGAGACCACACAAGCACACAGATGAGTGTTTACTCAAGATGCCCTGCATCTCATTGCAGATACCATGTGATTTAACAGTTGCCATGGTAACGATGCATTTTTCATTCCATAACTTGAATAAATGTTGAGATTGTCCTTGGTTTAACTAACTTATCTTATCTCCCTTTTAAAGTTGGCCATGATTGTATTATCTAAAGAAAGCAGAGAGGAGACTCCCAACATTCATGCTGAATTTTTAGAGCATGTAGGCAGTTAAGAAGTAGGTACGTGACTCCATCTGGAACAAAATAAAAGTAAAGCAATATGTGATTATTTAAAATCATAAAATGGGAGAAATATTAAATTGTACTTCATTATATGGTGTCATTGTATATGTTTCTGTAATTTTTATTTTTTGTGACACTTTTCTTCAATACATGAAATTTTAATTAAATTTATCATTTTATAGGATTATTCTTTATGTAGGCATGCAACAAAGCACTTTTCTTCTTTTTCCTTACTGTAATCTTGCAATAAAATTTCTTTATTTCTTGTGTGCTATAACCATCACTTTTGAATTGTTGCTGAAAACAGCTGGTTGTTAACCCCTCTTTCCTACCTGCCTTATTCTTTAACGTTTTCCTTTTGCTAAACGTGGACAACAAATATTTTACCAAACCAAAAAATCCTGTAATTTTCTCCTGTGCGTGTAGTGTTAGAAAATAGCATCCATATAGAAGCAGCCTGATTTTTCTCATTTCTATAGTTGATTATTTGTTGACATCAGTGAGTATTTTGTCCTGCATGATAAATGCAGAATCAACTCTCCTGCTATTAGGTGGAAGAAGTAAGTTTTATTTTTCATTCTAACTCCTTTTTCCTTTCCTTTTTGGCAGCTTTATTGCATGTTCTATGCATTGCTATCTACCTAGGATCTGTTATCAAGACTGTGAGTGATTAGTGGCTTATCTATCTGTGAATGATTTAGATTCATGAATTAATTAGCAAGGAAAGAACCATTAGAAAGCGTTAATAGAAAGACTGGTGATCTCAGACTATTTTGGAGTGAGTTAAAACTGTCATCCAAACCCAAGAAAATTGGAGCCATTGTGATTCATGCTTTTTTCAAAAGAAATCGCTGCGTTATATCTAACTTAGCTGAAAACAACCACCAAGCCACAAGATATAAATTCTACTTTGTGACAACTACTGTTGGTCTATAAGTTAAATAAATTGTTTTGATTTTAAACATTAGCTTTGGATTTTTTTTTTACTCCTTTACTCAGTGCTTTTTCACACTAGCTGTTTGAAGACCGTGTTAAATGTCAGTGCATTTGAGAGAGTTTGATTCTGGACTTCTTGAGAACGAGATTGAGCTTTATATAGTATTCTCAGTTTTAAGGGTTTATCTTAAGCCTTTTGTGAGACCAGAACCAGCTCCTGACCTTTGCTGAGTACTTAGCTGCATCCTTCTGTGAGCATAATGCTTCCACAAAAAGATATATGCCTTACAGTGATAAATGTAATGAGCAGCACCTCAGTTTAATAGGCAAGTTTTAATCTTCCTAGTTTGTAATTATGACTTATAATGTGAATAGCATACATATTTTAATTTTATTTTTATTAGAGTGGTGGCATTGGCAGCACTGAGAGGTCCTATGGACATAAGTTAAGAGACAAAGGTTTCTCTAATAGACAGTAAGTGGATAAGTCAGTTTTTTTAAATAATGTTTTGCTACACACCAAGTATAAATTGGAGTGAAAGGTAAAGAAAGGAATCAGCAATCTTGTCTGTTTGACTTAGAAGTTGTATGCATCCAGAACTGGTAATTAGAGCAATATAAGGCTGACAGTGTCATATATTTACTGCCATCTGTCCTCAATTCCTTCAGGAGACCTTATTTATCGCTGCTTCCATTATAAAGGTTCTAAGGCCTTTGTACATGTGTCCTTACCAAGGTGAATATTAGTCTACATTAATAAATTAAATCCACTAATGTTAGTGAGCTGTATTCTGCAGTTTTCATTCTTGAGTGAAAGCTGTATGGGGGCTGCCAGAGAAATCAAGTTCCAGCCCTGTTAGATGTTAATCAAGTTGTTATCTATTTCCTCTTATATTCCAGTAATTTCTAGAATTTCACCCTTTTGATGTTAAGATTATTCTCAAGTATAACTTCTGTATATCTACACAATCATCTTCAATTTTATTTTCCCTGACCTATATGGTAATAGTAATATGGTTTTTCAGTCCTGGGGTATTTGGGTTAAGTCTGCAATCCTTCTTGAATCCTTGGCACTCCTCCCTCCCCTTCCTGGACAAAACATAAGTCCTGCAATTTTTATATCATCTCCCTCTTGCTTTTCACTGTAGTTAAGGCTTGACCTACTGTCACTGACATCATGGAAGACACTGTTTCAGTGTTTTCCAGTGTATCCCCCAGGTAACTGGAGTATTGAACTGTTGTTTCATCTACATACTCCTATTCTATTCTTTTCTATGCTATGCTATGCTATGCTATGCTATTAACAAAGGAGATACTTGCATCTAGTGTTTGCATTTTTGTCCTGTAGGAAACTTTACATTCTTGGGAAGAAAAAAGTTGCAATTCTGATTCTGGTGAAAATAATACAGTTGCAAAACTCTCTTAGGGCAGAAATACAGATTGAATTTTCCTGACACTTACCTTGAGACCTGGACCTCCAGGCCTGTGGAGCTCCTGGGTGGCAGGGGATGCAGAAGCCCTGCCAGCCTGGGGTGGGCAGTATGTCCAGGCAGTGGGGGAAGCCCAGCAGGCTGCTTTCTGTTCAAACTGACATGTTCTGGCATGGTTTCAGTGAATGTAGTAGTGAATCCGTATTTTTTCAGTAAAAGAAAAAAAGTTACATTGGAAAATTTGCAATCAGCTTCACATCCCACCACATTAATTGCAAGGCCACTGGAAGGGACGGTTGGCATCTGCCCCTTTTGTTCTACAGTCATGTTAATTTGCCCCGGTGTGGTGCAGGTTTTTCTAGAAATACAGATGCTCTGAGCCTGCAATTCTTCCATATACTGGTATTTTTCAAGTAAGTGCTTTCCTGCCAGCTGTGAGAGAATGATAACAATATTAATACCATCCTCACGTCTTTTCTCTCTCTCTCTCTCTCTCTCTCTCTCTCTCTCTCTCTCTCTCTCTCTCTCTCCACTCCCTCTTCCTTTTTTTTTCCTTCTGCTTTTGTACTGTTACAGAGAGAAGGCCTCCTCAGTTGTCCTTGCCAAGGTGGTAGCTCTCTGTCAGGCTGTCAAACTTACCCACTAATAGCTATGAAGAGTGTGTGCTCCAAGAAAAGGAAAACCAAAATGCATAGCCTTCAATTGTTTTAAGAAGACATTTTTCATTATCCAACAGAATCGTGGAGTGTTAAGGTTATGATAACGTTGCTTCAGTGGCTGTGATACCAGTAATGGGTTTTTTTACATTGTTTTAGAAAGTGTGCCCTTTTCCCTGTGTTAAAAGTATTACTTCCTTTCATTAAAGCCCTATCCTTAAAGTGTTCTCGCCCTAAATACATTTGGAGGAAATTTGGGGGCCAATCAGGGGTATGGTCCATTTGTTCTCCATTTAGGGCATTCTTGCAGCTAACCTGCTATGACATGGCCAACACTGTGTCTTCATCTGTACTGCAGCATGGCACTATCAAAGTGTGCCAAAGGAAGTGTAAACCAGGATTCCCATTTCAGTTGAGGATTTTATGCTTCTGTTGTTTTCCAAAGAACATTAAAGGTTTTTTCCTTTTTAACTGTAAACTTTCCGGTGGTTGTATTCAAAGGTCTTTTCCAACATAAATGATTCTATGATTCTGTGAAAAGCTGCATGAGGTTCCTCTTTTCTCACTTCCTTTGTCTTTCTGTAACTACACAAACTTTTTTCACGTTTTTAAGTGCCTGCACAATGAATCCCTAACCTCACTTGCCGTGGGACCCTTGCTTGGGAACCTCACACAACTGAGCTTTATTTTTTTGCCCTAGGACCTAACTGCAGCCTTTCTGCTCACATAGGGACCCGTATTTAGCAGTGCCCTATTCTCATGAGCGGTTTCTTTCTTCTTAGTAATAGGGAAAGCAGAAATAATCCTACTCTCAGCAGTTTTGGGATTACAGGCAAAAATTGAGTTCCTTGATGTATGACTGTGTAGGGATATTAATCTTTTCCCTGATGCCTGTTGTCTGTCATCTCTGTCTTACCAGCACTGTCCTTTTGACCCCTCTACAAGGATAACTCGTTATTAACGTTGCCTTTGCTGCGGATACTCAGTATGCAGATGACAGCACCAACAGTTTTTCTAAAAGGGCTTGTTCTGTGCATTATCAGATGCAATATTCAAAATTGGCTTCAGCAACAAAGGATTTTGATTCTTTATTCCATGTTGTGGCTTGTGCTCATTTCACCGCAATTTGCAAAGTTGATAAATGCAGGGAAGGTTGTGTTGAGCCGAATGTCGGCTTTTTGTTGTGCATCTCTGAGAGTGATAGCTCAGTGTGAGACCACTAGGAAGTTTCAGTACAATCCCTGGGTGCCTTTTGCTGAAGGAGGTGGTGGTCAAAAAATTTAGAGTGTTTTATGGTTTTACAGCCCAGTCAGAAGTTAGTGAGAAATCACTGTGTGAGGCATTAGTTGATTTTTGTTTCTACCAATATACTGTGAATTAGCCCATGTTTATGAAAGTGGATTTAACAACTGAAGAGAAAACCAAAAATATTAGAGTACAAAAACGAACTGGACAAAAGATGACATGAGAAAAAATAATAAAATATGTCTGTCCTATGAGCTGTATTTTATAGTGGAATAAAATAACACAGTCTTCTGTAAGATTTTTTTTTTATTCTTAAGAAAAGCTGCTCTTGATGGTCTTGCAGTCCTGTAAGGTAATTTTTCCCTTGAAATTTGGAAAAAGTGGTGATCATGCAACTACAAAACAGGCAGCTCACTGAAAACATTTTGTGTTGTGATATTTTAAATAGAGGTAGAGTAGTAAATATTTTTTTATTTTCATTTTTCTGAAATAAAAAGAGAGTAACCACTGCAGAAAAAAAATACCAGTCTCCTCTTTATATAGTTGGATTAAGCTGTGCTGGTGACTATGAAATGCTTTTGTCCTCTTGTAGTTGAAAGAAAATCAAACATCTTAATGCAGGTTTTGGTTTCTCTTGCAACGCTGTGAAATACAGTAACATATTCTGAGATGGATTATCCACAGAGATCAGAGATATTGTTGTCCATCTCCACGTTAATTGTGATCTGTTCCTTTCCATCTTCTTGTCAAATGAGGAGGAATAGCCTGCAAAGAATAGAGTAATTTTTGTATATCTGTTTGTACTTTGGTGACTTTAAATCTAATTTTGCCATTTCCACAATAATGGATTCCAGGGAAAAAGCATAGTGAAGTGTAAGCAGGTCTTTAGTCCTGATGGATGCAGTCTGGATGAGTATCTTATAGAAAGAGCTGTTAATAGAATGTTGCATTTTGTTAGTTTTTTTTAACTTTCTATCATGTTTGCAATATAAATATGTTTATATTTTATAGCCAGGGCTCATCTCTATTGCTAGCATTGGCAAATGTCTCACATCATAAGACTTAATTTTCCATTGCTTCTAAGAGTTGTTGCATCTTATCTGTTCATTCTGAAAGGTGTCTGCTTCAGCCTATTTAATTTTCTAATGAAAAATGAAGCCAACATGGTTCAGACGCAGCTAGGAGGGAAGTTAGGGGTAAATATGTTTTGCTATGTTAAAAAAATTTCTGGCAGCAGTTCTCTGAGAAGCTCTAATGCCCTTATATTTCTGAAGTAGGATCTGAAATCCCTTTGGGGAAGAGTCTTTGGTTTTTTGCCATCTTCATAAATATTTGCCCAAATCTGACCCAAGTTGGAGGCCAAAAAATGCAGTTTGTACAAGCTCTCTAAAGAGTTTCTAGAGCTTTGAGGTTAATAGTTGAAGGCTCTGTAAGCTCTGAGCATGCTTCAGCTTGAGCTGCAAAGGGTTTTCTTTACAGCTGTACCTCTTGGCTGTTACAACCAGATGTGCTTGTAGGATATAATGAGCCTGGATGGAGGTGTAACTATCACTTTTGGTGTGTCCAATCTAGTTCTCATTCTCTCAGTGTCACACCTCAGAGGCAGGTGCTTCCAGCCTTTGCAATCGGTACAGCAGGGTCCCAACAGACAAGCACCTTTTTTTCTTAGCTTGGACCCAGTCTCAGAATGAAGTTTTAACATAGGCTGAACAAGGCAGAGGTGTTTGGGCAAAGCAGCAAGACATAGCAAAAAAAACAAAAACCAAGAAACCCCCCAAAAATTAGAAGTGGTTTTTTTTAAGAAACTACATAAAGAATACCAGCCATTTTTTTCCAGGTTTTGGGCTTGACCTTTCTGTCTTCTTCATGTTCTTGTAATTCTTCTTTTGCATGGGTAATATACACCAGAGATTGATTATAACATCCAAGCAAAAAGACACCTGCCCAGCAAAACAATCAGTCTTTGGAAATGAGGATCTTGTTATTTTGAGGCTTTTGTCCAGCTTTGTCACCTATTGGAGCACTTTCCCTGCACAGCAGTGGAAGCTTCTCTACGCTTGTACTTCTGAGCCCTCTTCCCAACTCTGCTCATGTATTTTACACCATTTGCATGGAAATATTCGTGTGCACAGGGAAACTCCATGGATTCATTGAAGGGAGCAGTCTTCTCTTTAGAACACAAACAACCCTTAGAATCATTTTCCCATACCTCTCAAGGGCATGACCTGGCACCAGCATGAAAAGACATAGAGGCAGAAGTGATCAGCCTTATCTGATTGTGTTGAGTCAGTTTTACCAAATTATGCTATGAAAACAAAATGTTCCTGCCCTCCATAGCTCATAGATGAGGCAACTTCTTTGTTATTTGATGTGATTTTGAAGCAGTTAGCCTGTGTGCAGTTGGCTTTGTTGCATGTTGTCCAAAGAAGATTCTCTTTGCCTTTGCTTTGCTTGGTTGTTTGGCAGCAGGAAAATCTGTCTGCAGACTGGATTTTCCATGCTCCATTAAGTTTATAGGTGCCTTATAGGTTATCTCTTAGTTGTTGTATTACTTTTTTATCCATTGAAACCAGAAATATGGGAGTCTCTCTGGATGTGGGGTTTGCTGGATTAGCTCTGTGTCTGGTCTCTTTTTTAAAAAAAGCAGGTGAAGAGATATTGGACAAAAGTTCTGTCATTGGGAAATGCATAGTGTGCATTGGTGCTTAGGGGTGTTCCAACTTACGTACTTCAGTAATGGGTAAGACAGATAAAGAAATAAATCCTTGCACAGGTGTTCTGTCCTTTGAAGAAATTACGTGAAAATGTGTTTTCTTTTCAGTGAAGCAGGCTTATGAATATACTGTCTGTTGCAGACCATACTGGTTTTTTTTCTATTGGAAAGCTGTTGGAAAATACAACATTTTTCAATGCTATTTTGAGCAGTGGAGGTTTCTCATAGGAAGAGGAGAGGCAGTGCATTCTGGATGTCCATTCCTCTTTTAATTACTTAAAAGGCCAAACTCAAGAATTCAAGGAACACAGAAATATCCCTGACTGATACCAAAGTTACTGGTTGCTTTGGCCAGAGATTGGATTCTTCCCTGCCAATTGCAAATAACCCTGAAAGCTAATGCCTTCCATAAGGAAGCTGGCACGCTGTGGCTGTTTTCAACACTGCATATGTACCTCTGCTTTCTTACACCCCTGTGGTAATTCAGAGGGTCATATTCCTGCTCATGCAAAGCATAACTTCCACAAGTTGAGGCCCGCTAAGCAAGGACTTCCAGCTGTTTCATTCCTATAAGCATATAAATATTTATACCACCCCAGGGTTCCTTTCATGCTGAAAATAAAGGTAGCACTTGTCTTCTGTTAAAATATATTACCCAGGAGATAAATGGCTTACCTCAGTGTTAGGAAGATGGATGAGAGGAGTGGAAAATTGGCCATAATATTGGTTGGAAGATCCACAGAGTCCAGAGGGCCTTGCTGTTTACTTGAAACTCCTGCTGGGAACTGACATAGAGGTTGATAGTGCTGTGTTTAGCTATCAACAGATGATTAATTAAAAGCTGTAATAAATGTGAAATATAATGGTTGACAGATGCAGAGCTAGCTAAATTTCCTAGTGATGGGTAATGTGCACCAGGGATTGATTACAACATCCAAGCAGGATGTGAATGGTGCTTTTGAAGGGACAGCTGAGACAGGGAGAGTCTGCACAAGGCCACATGCAAAGTGAGACAGCGATTCAACTCTGTGGTGTCTCTGGTGCTCTGCCCCTTCCTGTACTACCTCTGTGAAAGCACAAGTCCAAATGTATTCTGATCCAGGCTACTGAGAGTCATTTCCTACCCTCTGCACTGGAGTGAAATAAATGTCAGATAGGCAGTGTGGGGGGCTCAAAGCTGAGGTGCTGGTGTAGCATCACCTGAGTGAACTGTGATTCTGCTGTTGATCTGGAGCGTGACCAGTGGTAGCCTCTCTGCCTCAATTCATCTGCCCAGCCATGAAATGAGAGAGGTGGTAAGGCTGAGCTGCTGTGACCCCGCGTGGCCAGCACAGGTTGCAGATGTAAGGGTCTGAAAAAGTGATGTGAGGCTTCATTATTAATTGAAAATGTGATGAGAATGTCTCGAGTCAGTGTGCTGACTTCTAGGGACTTAGCTAGGATGCTGCCTTGCTCTTCAGTACGCGCTGCTTATCACTTGGGGGCCCCTTGCATCCTCCTTCTCATCTGCTACTGTATTTAGATGGAGCATGCTGAGAGCAGCCTGGTTTTCTTACAGCAAGAATTAATTATTTCACAGACCATTCCAGATTCTGATAAATGAAGCGTGCCTTGATGTCATTTTAGAGTAATATCTGTAGTGAAATCAGAACTTGTGAAAATACATAGGACATGTCTTTGTGTTTTGCTTTGTTCAGGTTAGTTGTTGTGGTTTATGATATGACTAAAGGGCCTGACAACATAAAAATAACTTCTGCAGAAGTGGGAGTTTAATGAAATAATAATTATTCCCTTAAATTATTTTCAATATAAGATAGCAAAATTAAGAAATTCTCTATCCCTCTCCTTTTTTTCGCAAGTATTTATTATAGGTAATGAAAATCCAAATTGAACCCGACTGGCCTTAGTTTTGCACAATTTTTGTCTTTCCTGATAAAATAGGTTGATTTTTCTCTTCTTTGAAATTGCTAAAACAGGCAAGGACAAGAGGAAGAGCCTTATGAAAATCTCACCATTGGGGCACTTTATGCTGTTAATTCACAAAGAAGTACCCAAAAGGTTTTTTGAAAATGTTTCTGCTTAGTGAAATGCTGAAGGGGAAACACCATCATCCAGAACAACCATTGTTAATGTCCTTTCAGTGTGAGAGAGCTTTCACCCTCCCAGTGCTCCCTGTTGACTTGCTGCCAGCTGCTCATGTATGTAATGTATATGGGTGTGCTTAAAATCCATTCCCATCTATGTGGAAATAGATGGTTTGTACGAATACAGCACCATACATCACATATATGCTCCATATGTGCTGCAGTTTGGAATGTCAGTGAGCACAGGGCTATTTTAGAGGATGCCAGAGAAAGGAAAGAGAAATGGAGCAATTTATTTGTTTGGATAAATCTCTCTGTTACTGAATTGTTTTAATGCTGCGCCTGTTTCTTGTTCTTCCTCTCCTTCTCTTTTGCTGCTTCTTTCATTGCAGTTTTTCAAATATGTAGGCAACAAAAAACCATGGCCAGTGGAATGGAAGGTTACAATTATGTATCTGTATTCCTGTAATGCGGCTGCTCAGTAATGTCTCCTGGGAGTGTTACAATGAATAGCTGACATTAATTGGCTCAGTACCTGTACGTCTGACCTTGTAGAAATTTAGTAGATCAATTCTACATTGTTGTTTACTGATAAAGAAAACTTTTTCAGGGCAGAGACTGCGTCTTCACACGTCTGCCACAGTGACAACCAGAAGTAGCAGTCAGATTTACCGGGTCTTAGAATAAGAAATGAACGAATAGAAAAAGGAGTCATAAAGCGATTTCTCTCCCTTGTTTTGTCAAGACAGATCTGTTCCTCATCAATTTTTAGCCCACTTGAAGTCTTTCTCACTGCTGGACCTACTCTTGATGCACAAATGCTGTTTTCTGTCCTTTGAGTAGTACACCTATTTTGCTTTCATAGGTGTGTTTGACATACTGAACGATATAACTAAACCAGGTCAGAATTAGAGGAACAGCACCTGGATTTACTCGCACTGCAACAGCTGCCTCTTTTGTTTCGCTCACCCTCCGGTGACTAAATCTGCCAGGAGGATCTAGCAGAGCGCTGGGAGCCGCTATTTGGCAGCCGCCGTGTTTCAATGCGCCCTGCTCAGTCAGCAACAACCTCTCATCTCCCGCACTGCTCAGTCAGCTGGCTTTGGCTGCACTGGGGATGCGGGCTGCGTGTGCACAAATGGATGATGGTTCAGCTCCATTCTGTTTGAGGGAGCACGGAGGGAGAAAGTTAGTGCCCAAACTGCAGCTTAGCCAAGATTCACACCCGGGACAGTCACTGGGCTGACCTTTCTGTGAGGGTGTTTGTTTCCCGAGTTAAAAAGTTGTTGAAAAGAAGGGAGATCTGTACACGGAGTATTTTAGGAGATGCTCAGAGGAACACATTGCACGCCTGTTCCGCTGGTTTTATTGCCTTTATTGAAGTACAGAAGGTGTATTCTGCCCCTGTACTACTGGCGTGCTCGGGAGCACTTACCACTTTCAGACTATTGTTACCTGTCCTCTGCTTTATTTGATCGGAAGGGAATTAAAAAAGCCACCACGCTGGAGACACAGAAACCCGCACAGTCAAAGACCCTCTCCCATCCCCACTGGCTTCTGTGAATTAAAATCCAACACAGGGAGCCCAGTGCTGCTCACAAAGGGGAGCCCGTTCCTCCTCTCTGCCCCGCGGTGTAAAGAGCCCCCTCCCCAGTTTAGGCCTCCGGCAGCGGTTCCCCCCGGTTGGAGCCCGCGGCGGGACAGCAGCCGCAGCCCCAGCCCCGACCCCGGCGGGCACTGACCGCGCTTCTCTCTTGTCGCTTTTCCCCCCCTGCGACACGGAAGGCTGGACGATTGGGGCGGCGGCGAGAGCGGGCGCGGAGGCGGCCGGCGCGGCGCTGGTGCTGCGGAAGGTGTGGATTCCACGCAGCCCGGCCCCCGAGACGGCGCGGGACGTAGGGCTTTCCGCGGCTCCGGGCGTTGGCGGGGCTGGGCCGGCCGGCCGGGCTCGCGGCGGCGGCGGCGGCGGGGCGGGTGGCCCGCGGCCCGGCGGGCGATGGCCCCGGGGGGCGGCGCCTAGGGCACGGGGCCGCGGGGCGCGGCGGGCACGGCGGGGGAGCGGGGCCGCCATGGGCGCGGCAGGGTGCGGGTGCCTGGAGGCGCTGGGGGGTCGCGGCGGGGAGCGGCCGCTGCCCACCTTCGACGCTGCCTACTTTCAAGTACATCGACGAGGAGGACGAGGAGGATGAGTGGAGCAGCCGCTCGCAGTCCTCTACCGAGGATGACTCCGGGGACTCTCTGCTTTCTGACAGATACGTGGTGGTGTCGGGGACGCCGGAGAAGATTTTGGAGCATCTCCTCAGCGACCTGCACTTGGAAGCCGCCCAGGACAAAGAGACGGGTAAGGAGCAAGCCTGGCGGGGAGGCGGAGAAGGCCGGGGAGCGTGTGTCCCCGGTCCCGGGCGGGAATGGGGGAGAGGTGCCGGTGCTGGCAGAGCGGGGCGGGCCGAGGGTCGCTGCCGGGCACCGCCGGCCGCAAGGCCGCTGCCAGCCTGATGTGCAGCCCGGGGCGATGCGAGGAACCCGAGAGCGCGGCGCGGCAGCCGGGAGGTGGCGGAGCGAGGCGCCGGCCCCGGGGCAGGGGCACCGTCGTTACCGGAGCCGCTCGGCAGATGCGAGCACAGCAGCAACTGGGGCCGGTCTGCGTTCGGCTTTGGCTGCCGCCTGGGTAGCGCAAGCTGTGGCGGGCTCTGTACAGCACCCATGTCTCTGCAGGCAGGGCTGCCATCCCTCGTAGCCTGCAGCTATTGATCAGGATACTTGCAGTGCACCTCATCTACTGACAAGCTACTCGTATTGACACCACCCCAGTACTTTGACACAACTGCTTCATAGAAACGGCTTATAGCCCAGGGCACAGCATATCGCCCGATGAAGACTTGCATGTCTTCAATCAGAGAGTGTAGTTTATTCCAGCCTCGAGCAATTATTCTATAAGGTCGGGCTACTTGACATGCAGTTTAATTTTCAGCTGGATTTCTTGGCAGTATGCGCAGCCTGCTGTCACCAAGAGCTCATGGAGTTTATCAGAAGTGCCTGTAACCTGCAATTCATAGGTAGTTTTAATGAAAGCACCCAGGCTGGTGAGACTTTTGGAGGTCCCAAATACCGAAGAGGAGGGCAGATGGCTGTCTGTGGAGCTGTGCATTTGGTCGTCCCCAATAGGGTTAAAATGCATACTCCTGCTGCCTGTATATATCTTTCTCTACAAATGAGATTACTGAGAATAAACACACTTTAATCCTTTTAAGTGTCTGAAATTATAAATAACATCTGCGATTCCCAGAGGAACGTCTCAGAACAAGTCATTAGTTTAATGTGGGACAATAGGCATATTCCTAGTGCTGATGTGTCAATGCCCTGAAGAAACATATAGAGTGTCTGCTGGTGATATTATTACGGTGTTCCTACTGCCGCTTTTGTCTGCCTAGACATTAATATTTAGTGCTGAGAGAGGCTGTGGTTGTTTTCCTTTCACAGATGCACTCAAACTAGTTCGGAGTATAATTTACTTGAACCAGCTCATAGGTAGTGTAGTGAGGATCCTTCATTGGCCTTTTAAGGTCAAATATTGAATCCAGAATAAGTTTACCCATTAATGTTTATCACACACAGACTGGGGGACATCAGCTGCCAGTCTTTATATTCTGTTTCATCTTATTTTATAAGCTCACAATCTTGCTGGAAAACAGTGAGAATTTCACTGGTGATATTCATTATATTTTAGTGTTTGTAAATGCAAAGCCCTCCTGACATAAAGCATTAGATACATCCTCCCGTGTGCTGCCTATTCTTTTTTTCTCTTTGGTCTCTCTCCCTCCCAAAGGCTGTTCGTAAGCCTGGTCTTATTGTTAGTGAGAGGGGCTGGTAAACTGTTCTCAAAACAAATGCTAAACCACTGCCTGGTTGTCAGCAGATGGTAAAGTATTTAAAGGTTGATTAGCTTCCACTCACCTCTTCTGCCTTATCCTAACTCCTTTTAGAAAGAAACAATTAGGCTCTGCCCTGTAGCCAGGGTTAACTGGATCCCAGGGACAGAAAAAAGTAGCTGTGCCTTCATTTTTTTGCCATCACAGAGATGTGTGCTAAACCTTGCCCGGCAGCTCTTCACCCCCTCAAGGGTAGCTTCTCATGCCATTTTCTTCTGATTTTATTAATCTGGTAATATAGAACTTCATCAGAATAAAAGACTTTGGGAGTTATGTTTCCCAGTGGTTTATGAGGAGGAGGCTCCTGTAATGGTTTTTATCAGTTTGTTTTGCAGACTCAGTGACATTTGTCATGAGGAAGTATGGGATGTTGACTGTGCATATGTACCTCTTTGTGTGTGCACCTGACGGCATCCTTCTACCATCCTTGTGTGCTTGGATTTACTGGTTTTTGTATTTTTTTCTAGTTCCAATCTGGCCCATATTATATCAAGTTGCAGAGTTCCACAGGCTTTTATTTTAGCAGACCTAGCTTTGTGGAACAGAAAAGGACGATGTTGTACTCAGCTGCTGCTCCTGCTGTCTCTTTGCCAGTTCCAGGGTGAATTCCGTGGCCTCTCGCTTTCCCTGCAGCCCCCAATGCAGTTTGTTTATTTGTGTCTGTAAAGAACATGAGAAAGGGCTGTTCTTACATATGCTGACGCACAAGGGGCTGTTGTTCCGTTTGACCTTTTGCACTGTTTCCCAAGGAGGGATGCTCTGCATGTTATCATTCCCACCTTTTGTATACCAAATCATAACTGCAGCCCTCTATGGTTGTTAACAAAAAACTCCACTGTCCTGGGGCTAGCATGGTCATGGAGCTTCTTATAAACGCTGACATGACTGAATGATACACCATGCATTGCTTCCAGCTATCCTCCCTTTTCTAGCCCAAGTCAGCAGGTACTGCTTGCACTTGGAAGAGTAAAGGAAGCTTTGGGGCTGGTCTGGAATAAATTTAACTAGGGACCAGCCCAGGCCTTAAGACTTCCTACAACTGCTGCTAAACCTGTAGCAAGGTACCTTAAGCACTCAGTTTAATAAACTCTGCTATAATAAACAGGTAGGGACCCAACCTGAAGATTTGTGCCATTGCCTGTGACATGATAAAGCACTGTTATAGCAGCTGAGGACACTTGAAGAAGATGCTGCAATCTGCACAGCTAGACTAGTCTGTTGCTCAGGTGACTTCTGTAGGCAGGATGTCTTGAAAGCCTGAGGTTTGCAAGACTCTTTAGGCTTAACTCAATAGCTGTTTAATGACTGAGGGCTTTTTGTGATGACTGTGTCAGGGAGTATGTGCAAGATCTTGAGACATCAGCTTAAATTTGGGCTTGCCACTAACAAAGGGTTGCTAGCTTCCATCTCGAAGTAAGTTTTTGTCTCACTGAGTTACATATAATCGGTAATGTACCAATTCCCAAGAACACTGTTCTTGTTCCCTACCATGAGATGGATGGAAATTTTAAATTTCTGTAATGAACTACTTTTCTGAGTCATCTCTCAGGTTGTTGAAATCAGTGGGGAATGTCTACTGAGTGTGTATTTTAGAGTGCAGTTTGAAGTTTTGAGAACTGAACAGAGTGAGACACTTCAAATATGTCAATATCGAGGCAGAAAAGGCAAGGCATACCTCCTGGGCTAATCCTCATCAAGGATGGGGATTTGAACAAGTAATCTCCAAGAGGCCAAATCTTAGTGTCTTAAGATCTCTAATCCCTTCCCATTGACTACAACATTTCTTTCAGATTTTCTGCAAAATCTTTTATTTCTTGGGCGTTAGCAGCATTTTCTTCTCTGGATATTATTCTGATGTAGTCTTCGGAGTATATTCTGCCTGGTCTCTATTCAAACATACTGTGTTGGCATGTGGTGATTGCATTCAACATTTGGCAGCCTCTGGAATGACATAGTGATGATCACATTCACTGCTACTTCTCCAGGCCTGTCTGGATCCCTCAGATAGTTTCCTTCCATCCACTGGGCCACCTCTCTCAGGCAGCTTAAACAGAACACTGCTGAAGTAGAACATAATCTCCCTCGTTGCATCTGCTGGCACCACCTGTCTTTTATCTCCCTGCTGCGGGATTCATTTTAGAGAATGAGTAGAGAGAAGAAGAGATTGATTTGTGAAGGTCTTTGAGAGCAAGAAGCAGTGGGAAATGGAGATCTAGAGAAAGGAAATGAGGAATGGTATGGCTGGAGCAACGTGACAGTGTCAGTCTTAACTGATGTATCTTTGTAGTGGACTGGGTGAAAGGGATTGTGGCAAGGAGGAGGCATGATATTTTTGTTAGGCTGTTGCAGACATTAGGATGGCAAATGATGGAATGCCTGGAGAGGGATTAAGGGTACAGAAAAAGAACAAATTCTCATGATGTAGCTAGAAGAGGTACAGAATATGGTCTGGATATCTTCAGAATAGGAAAAGAAAGGAGTAATGACCTTTGTGTCATGCTGTGTCGCCTTATCTGGGACTGTGCATGATCCCTGGATTACTGGGAACTCTCCTCTGTCCCACAGAAGCAGTGTGGCAGCTTATGATCCTAGGTTTAGGATCATAACATAGGCCCCTCCCCCTAGGAGGGGCCTTCAGACCGTGTCCATTTGTCCTAGAAGTGCTAGGGTTACTAGTGTAAGGGTTACTTTTGTTTAGTACATTCTGTTTCTACACTTGCATCAATGACACTGCTTTGATGTTGGACCATGACACCTCTGTGGAACTGTACATAACCTTGTATGAGAATGGTACTATCTTACATGAACTGATCATAGTCAGCTGCTAAATGATGATGCAAAAAAAAATGGATATAGCTCTGCCTTTTCCAGGTGGCTGTATTTTATTTAATGATCCAAGAAAAAAAATCTGGTTGGTTTTTTTTTATCTTTTGTTTCTTAGCTATGATGGTTGTTGTTAGGTCTTTTGCTCACTACGCTATTTACTGATGATTAAAAGGTATTAAAAAATGTACTCCTGTGACTGACTGCCACATAGTCAATATAGGTGTATCTGATGCATGTGGACTGATGTCAACAGGAATAAATATTTGCTCAACACTTTGTGATCCTACCTTCCAGCTTTTAGGACAGATAGAACAAATGCCTGCTAACCCTTCCTCTTACCAGTCCTTTATAATGAAATGTTGTCGGTCATAATTTTGAGGGATTTTATAAACTTTCCCACAAAGTTTTAGGAAAATTTGGTGAACTGAGTGGGCTAAATGCATATTACTGCCGTGTCCATAGGAGTGGATCAAAAGTTTACTGGAGTACATGAGTGTAAGCATTGCAGAAAAGCTAAAATAATAATATATCTCAATGATCAATGTGAGAGAACCTGAGGAGGTTCTTGCAGAGGACCATTGCTTTG